TTTCTCAACTTTATAGGATGAAAATAACGATTGAAAATATGATGACCTACTATAAGGACAACAGAGTGACGCATGAAATTCTTTGTGGTCTGTACCATTTCCTACATCGATTATGACATTATACTCAAACTCTGAACTAAGCAACGAACAGAAATTGTTTGATAAATCTTCATAAAATGAAGTACACATGTAATTTAATATTTTGTTAACACAAATTGAAAAAAAAAAATGTCGTTTTGACGAAAAAGCTAACTATTCTAACTATTTAAATTTACTATGAAAACGCATTTCCAAATAAAGCAAATGATCGGCTGCCCTCAAAAGTAATTGTATTGATTTTCGTCTGAAATTGGAATTTCAGACGAAAATTATAACAAAAAGAAATATAATCCGGTCGTATTACAAATTTTTAAAAAGAACTAATCCGGTCGTATTAGAATCACAACAAAAGAACTTACTTTTACATTTCTAAATTCTTGTCATAACAAATACATATGTAAAAAAGAAAATATTTTTTTTTTTTTTAATTAACCAGTCTGTTCAGCAAAAATTGAAAAAATTTTAATTACTAAGAACAAAAAAAGAAAAAGATGATTTTATACTCGCAAATAGTTTAGATGATTATATCTTTATTTCTTCTTTATTTTGTTGCTGAACGAAGAATGATAGTCTATTCATTAGAAACGAAAACTTTATAAATATAAGAACTTTCCACCGTTAACCTTCTAACAAAAAAAAAAAAATCAAATCAAATCAACTTTCATAAATATAAGAACTTTCCACCAACAAAAAAAAAATAAATAAATAAACAAACAAATTACAAAATGAATACCGTCATCAAATTCAATTCATTTATTTCAATTCTCTTATTATTCTCTTTAAAAAGATCAATTTAAAATGAAAAAAAAGAAAAGAAAAAGAAAAAGGAAAATGTTACGTGAAGGTTTATGAATAGCTAGAGCTATTACTTCATTGAACAATGCGATTTAATCATTTTATTTTCTTTTTAAAATTGATCTTTTCGACTTATTTCCTTTATTTATTATACAGCTATGCCAACTTATCCTGAATGTGATGGTAAGTATTTTTTTTTTTTAAAAAAAAAAAAATATATATATATATATATATATTTTTAATAAAATCTTTTCCTTCTTTCCCGTTCACAGGAATTCAATTCATTTCTCCTAAAGCTGATGAAAAATTGACAAATAATGAAGAGATTCAAGTAGTTTGGAAAAGTAACATGTATACATTTGTAAATGGCCTTGACTTATATAATGAAAAAGGAGAATTTGTTAAATCATTATGGAAAGATGATGATAGTATTGTTGTCGGTGCTGGTGATGAGTATTCGGTAAAAGTAAAACTTGAAGTTCCTTTATGCACTCCATTACCTGCTTAATATATGATTGAAATTTCGGGCAAAGGTAAAGATAACATGCCTTGTTTTAAAAATAGTGAAATTTTTACTATAGGAAAGTGATTAACAATAAGAAAGAATACTCGTGTTAAAATTTTATTAATAAGATCATCATGAATAAAAAAAAATATCATTATTTAATTATCATATATTTAGCTATTTATAATTTGAATTTGAATTAAAGAAAATATATTTTAAAAAGTGCGTTAGTTCCATAAAATCTTTATTGAAATAAAATAGAAGATCATCAAAAACTTAACCTAAATTAAGCCTATCACCTTTCAAGAACATAGAAAATAAAAGAAACAGAAGAGGGCTTGGCCACTACAACACCAAAAATTCGACCAATGGGATCCAAAACGGACCATAGTGTCTATAGTAGCAGGTTAAGGTAAATTATTAACGTTAATAGAGGAAAAAACATAACCAGTGGATATGTTCTTTTTTCCGTTCCATTGTAATATTTATTATCAGCTTTCTCTATGTTGGATTGGACGTTTGAATTTAAAGAGAGATATATATATATATATTGTGTACATTTTGGCGAAACTTATTGAAATTATCCTATAGATAAATTAGAAAAGATATTATTTTATTTTTTTTTATAGTCGGTCCTAATAAAATAACTTTGCAGCTTATGCCACGCAAAAAATTGTATAGTTATAAAAGGGGGGCAAAATTCATTCGATTTCAGGTATGGATCAAAACTATATTTAGAAGTTTTGAATAGTATTGAAAATTTTTCAGAAATAAGAGAATCTCATACAAGATTGAATTATTTACCGCATTTTCTAAAAATTGAGTAAAAAGTCCAATATTTCACCACGTCTTTTTGAACCAACGTTAGTATAAGTCACATGACGATCAGACAAAATATAAATTTTCAGGGATTTTCCAAATCAGCAAACAAGCAAGCAAGTTAAAGGCTAATTACAAATTCACATGATACCGGCAAAGTATCATTTTCTGGGTTGTTGTAATATTTGGGTATGTATGGTTTTGTATGACAAATATTTCCATACATGTATGGAATTTCTAAAATTTCGTCGCAGCTATTTCATTTCATTTTACCAGAATTTGGAAACTATATTGCATCAAAATAAACCAATCGTACATATTTTATCTATTAAAAGGAATTAACCGAATAATAATAAAAAGTTTTAAATTTTTTAATAATATTAATTGAATACTTCTATTTGATAAATGCAAAAAATTTACATTAATAAATTAAGTTTAATTTTAAAAACTTTACACCTGATTTTACTCCTTTATAATGAATGTATAACTACCAACGCGACTTATTGTTTTCTTTTGATTGTCATTTTATTCAAAGCAAATCCGATTATTTTTAAGATATTTGAAACGATGAAACTATAATTAATTTAATCATTCTAACTAAATATATAAATATTCAATACCGTTATGGATTTGAAAATTGAAAATTCCATGCATAAAAAAACCGTACCGGTATGGAAAAACCATTGGAACCATACATTCATACATAAAATCCATATCATACATGATTTAATAACCTTATAATATTGGGATTACGGTGAAATCTATTTTGCCATCATTTTAACGATAAAATTTATTTAACGTTTTATATATAAAAAAAATTTGTGGAGTGATAGCTGACAAGGATGAGTCAAATAATTTAAAAATTCACGCCGTTGATATTTTGTATTAACAAACAAGGAAATTTGAAATTATTTTCATCATAAAATTTTGCAACATAGAAAGGTCATTGTCACTACTTTTACAAGAAAAAGTTTAAATTGAACAAAAGGATCGACAAGCTATGCAAAATCTAACCTTTTGAGTCTAACAATTTAAAGTGGATTACTTCACGTTTCTCCTGGTCAAGCATTTCGACCAGCAAAAGATATGAGGATACATATACATGTTTGAGACTTCATCTCACAATCTGCATAATAAATGAGAAGATAGGGTGCGAAGAAAATTATTACCGTACCGTTCCGAAATTAAGCACCCCCGAAAATAAGCACCCCCCTGTTTTGGATAGTACCCGAAAATAAGCTTCCCTTCCGATATTAAATTTTTTTGTATGATTTTGTTAGTTATTAAATGTTTAACGACTTTATTAATGAATTTATTAGAATTACAATAAGAGAGAACTATTCCCTATCATCATCTGAACTACTTTCATCAGAATTAATTAACAAACTCTTTATTTCCATACATCAGCTCCATTTCGAAAAAAGGATCATCTTCTAAAGTGATCGCTTCATACCTGTAAAATATTGCAATTAATATGAATAGGTTAAGAAAGTATATGATTTAATTGTCTAATTACCTAGCTTGCGGAACATTCTTTGTCTTCATTTTCTTTATCGGAGTCTTGAATAATTTCATCAATATCATCTTCATTCCCCAACTCATCTAAAGAATTTGATATTCCACATTTTTTAAAGGATTCGATAATCACTTCATCTGGAATATTATCCCATGACCGTTTCACCCATCCACAAACATCACTTAGCTTAGCACGTCGCAGATTTCCAGCAGTAGTTTCTCCAGCGCCACCATTGGCCATCCAAATATGCCATTCCTTACGAAGATTATCTTTAAATGGTTTATTAATTGCGACATCAAGTGGTTGGCATACACCGGTTAAACCACCTGGAATAACCGCTAAATCAATGCCACTATCACAAAATTTTTTGTTTAACGGATTTTTCTAGATGTCCCCTGAAAGAATCATACACCATCATCATTGGATCACTGTTTATTCTTAACTTATTAATATAATCAATATACTCGTTCATAAGATTGGTATCCATCCATCCATTTTTCTGAAACCAAACAACAACACCAGCTGGAATTAAATCACATTCACTACGTGGTAATCTCTTTCCTTTAAAAATGCAGATTGGTGGAAATTTTGTCCTGTCTATAATAAAAAAATAAAGATTTAGTAAATTAAACTTTGCAAAATTGTTAAGAATAATAAAAATGATTCCTACCTGCAGCACATGTTAAAACAACTGTGAATCTGTTTTTTTTTGTTACCAGTTCCACGAATATGAACAGTTTTTTCGCCTATCTTATCAATAGTAAAATTTTCCACCATGTCAAACCATACAGGAGTTTCGTCTATGTTGAGAATATTGGATAAATCAAAGGATTTTTCTTTCCTAAAACGAATAACAAATTGATTAAAGCTCTTTAATAATTCGTTAGTTTGTGAAGGAAGCTTTTGTGAGATTTTAGTACGCCGTCGCTAAGGAAGCTTAAATCTTTTCATAAATGCAACCAACCAACGATTTGATGTTTTGAAATCTTTTGAATCTCCATAAAGACTTATCATGTCAGGATTCTTTAAAATCTCTATCATTTTAACTCGTGTAATTGTATAGGTAACACCTAATTCCTGCTTTCTTTGCTCAATAATCCAATTATATAATTTTTTCTTAGCTTCAAAATAAAAAAACAGTTTGACCAGAACCAACTCGCTTACTGTTTTAGTTTAGTTCAATTACCCAACTTTCACTTGCTTTCACCCAATGACCAACCATACTGCCATCAAGGTTAAAGTGTTTTGCTGCTTCATTTCTTCCATTCTCCTTTGCATAAGCAACCACTTGTTTCTTTTGCTCAATGGAATATGAATTGCGGTTACGCTTGACAGTTTACAGTATTTTTTTTTGTAACGCCATATTGTATTTTTAAAACAGGTTTAAAACAGATTCATGACGAAGTTTTAGTTTGTGTCTTCATGATAAACTCACATTATGTCATACGAATAACACAATATATTATTAATGATCATTTGACGATCATTAGACAATTGAAAATCGCTCACTTAACAAGAAATAATTTTATTTTTTTAAAAAGTACCCAAAATTAAGTACCTCATAGTAAAAAAGGGTGCTTAATTTCAGAATGGTACGGTAGATATTTTAAAAATTTTTTTCTTAATAGGAATCACCAATTTGTTAACCATACGCTCAGCCTGTCGAACTTAGGGTAACTATAATTTAATAACAGGGAGTAATGTACGAGAAACTACTAAGTTACTATAGGATAAGTCCTATCATAATCAACCTTAGATTTATACTTTAGACAAATAGAATAACTTTAATAACTTGTAAATATAATAAACACAATTAACACGCTGAAAGATTTTTAATATGTGTAGTTTAGAAAGAGATTCCTTTATTGTAGATATTTGTATCCTTAGCAATCCTTAACCTTAGTCTTGAACTCAAACTATTGAGTTTACACTATTATCTCTATCCTTTTGTAAGGACAAATTTCTATACAAAAATATAATTATAAGAAATTACTATCTAACGCTAAACTATTTTATAATACTAAGATAAATATAAAAGATAATTTATAATTTAATTATGATAATAATATAATAAATAATAATAATAAAATATAAAAATAAGTAAATAAAATAAAAATATTAACTAAGTTAAAAATGCTAATGATGTTAATATCATTGATCATTTGTCAATCTTTGTAGTGAAGTAAGATCAACTTTACATGATATCAACATGATATAAATATATGTTATATGATCATATAAAAATGTTAGATATCTAATTATTGATAATTTTTACTTTATTTTTAAATAATAATAAAAAATTGTTTTTTTATTCATTAAAGTAATTATAAATAATTTTTTACAGCTTAATAAAATGTTGAATTATTAAAAAAAACCTTTTTATATAATACATTAAGTAGTCCTAAACTTTTAAGCAGGAACATACTTAAAAAAGTAATCAGACAGAATAATTATTCCAAAATATATATAATAATTTAGGCTAAAATTTTAACATGTGATAGTTTATGATATAAATAAATAATGATATAATTATTATTTTATTTATAAATAATGATCAAATGTGATTAATAAATAGAATTTTATACTACTTTATACTATGTATAATTTTATACAACCAGATTATTAGTTTATTTAAAAGTGGTATTATCAGATAAAATATTATTAAAATGTTCAGCTTTTTTAAAACTGCAGTTTACTGAACTATTCAAATCATTTGTGAAGGAAAAAGTTTTAAAACTCAGCTATAAAGTGATCATCTTAAACTTTTAAATTGTGAAAAATATTAAAAATTATTAAAATAATAATCATCAATTAGCTAAACAAATAAAAAATAATTTTCAAAAGAAAACTGAATTATAAGTTTTTACAAAACTATAAGGAAAAATTTGCATGAACTTAATATTTTTCACGTATTTTAATATTCAAACCTCTTTTTAGTGAAAAATAAAGAAAAAATTGTTTTAAATAATGCATTAAAAGAAAAGATTAGTCTGTTAAAAAATAAAAATCAGTTATTTAAAATAATAAAAGCCACTTTATCATATTTAAAAATAATAGTTCAAATTATATTTAGAAAACTCCTAAAATAAAATTTAATTTTCAAAACATAGTTTTTTCAATAAAATATAGTAGTAGAAATGTAATTATATAAGTTTATTTTTTAGAAAAGTAAATAGGATCATTTGTAAAAGTTAATGAATAAATGAACTATCATAAATATATTCAAATACTTGAAACACATTTGTTTCCTTTTATTATTAATAATTATAATAGAATAGATAAGGGTATTTATTTCAGAATGATAACTTTTTTGTCTATACTGCTAAAATTATTAAAAAATGGATAGAAATAAAAAAGTCAAAATTTTGAAAGATTGGTTAAGTCAATCACTTAACTTGAATATAATCAAACACCTGTAATTAAATATAAAAAGCTTATTAGAAAATATCTTAAACTTATAAAAAATTTGAAAAAATTAGAGTGTATTTTTCATAAAGAATGAAATCAAATTCCTAATAATACTTTAATTAATTTAATTAAAAGTATATCACATAAGATTAAGATGTATATTAAAAATAATGGCTGATCAACTAAATATTAGTTGTATATATAATTTAACTAATTTAATTAAAATTTTGACTCACTTATTATATATATTTTTGAATAAAATCTAAAATTTATTCTTTAAAAATTCTTAATAAACTAATAAAAATAATTTATTATATAGATATTAAAAAAGTTAATAAATTATTACTAAATTTTGTATAATATATAATAAATTTGTCATCTTATGACCTTTATATATCAAATTTATTTTAATTATATAATACAAATAAATTTATTTTTTAATAATCAAGTTATATAAATAACTCTAACTTATAATTAAGTTACTTTTTGTTAATAATCAAAATATATGCTTAAATTATTATAATACTTTGAATGAAAAAAATAAAATTAATGGATTAAATATAAAAAAAAATTCCTAAAATTTATTTACTTATATAATTTATTATCCTAAATTATGTACTATTAATAAAAGAAATTATATCTTCAAATATCATGTAAAATTTGTTAAATAATAATGATTTCAGTTAAATAATCTCTCAACTTATTAAATAGTAATTAGGATTATTTCTGTTTATACTATTTTGTCCATAATTTTTTAACATCTATAATTTATTTCTTTCATTTTACTATTTTATAGTTTATTTAATTTTTATTATTTATTATATTTAAGTAAATTTTAATATAATATACTAGTTGCTAAAAATAACAGGAGTAAATAATATATATTATAATATAATATATTTTCTTAAAAAGCAATTTTTTTTATTTTGAAAATTTGTATAATGGTATATAATTTAATGATTTTTTTTTATACAAATATATTCTAAATATTCTCTATTACACATAAATTTGATTAGTATATAGTAAATATCTATATTTAATTAATTTATAATGTAGCAAGTAATTAGCTATAGTAAATTAATTGTATATAAATAAAATAACTTTTACTCAAATTATATATTAATTCTTTTGCAAATTTTTAGTTATTGATAAAAGAATCAATTTAATTTATATAAATTATATTTTCTTTATATTATCTCTCATTTAGAATTTGTTGTGATACTTTATCACTGATCAAAATTAAAAAAATTAGATATATAATAAATTGGCTTAAAATCAGCTTAAAATTAGCAAATTATTAAAATTAGCCTAGTTAATTGGCATATACAATATTAAGAATTAGTCAATATTAACCAAAAATTCAATCTATTTTATTTATAATTATTTGACATACTTATAGCTAATTAGTATACATTAAGAATTAATTATAATTTAATTATCTTATTTATAGCTGATAGATGTCTGATTAATATATGATTGACATATATTGAAAATTAGCTAAAGTATATCAAAATAAAATAGAATTCAAAAGAAAATATATAGTGAAATGATCCAGATCATCTGCAGATAAAACTATTCATCCATCAGATAAAAAAGTGATTCAGATGATTATTATATATCCGCAGGAAACCAAATAAACGATCTGCAGATTATATGCCAAATATTCGCAGATAATCAACAGATCACATAGATAATAAAAAATCTGCAAATATCCGCATATCCGTGAATTTTCTAAAAAAATTTGACATTTCTACGCATTTATAATAAAAAATAAAAAACAAAATATTTTATTTCCCAATTTTATAATTCTCATTTTACTATAATTTTATTATAAGACATGATATTATCAGTTATCCAAAATTTACATACTAGAATTTTCTAGACTCTGGAGGAGGATGGATGCTTTTAACAAATAATGAATTTTTCTTTAAAAACATAAGCCTATTAAACAATTCAGGATTTAAACAGGTTCTTTTAGCTGTTAATAGATTACCAGCATCACTAAATAACCTCTCACTTGGGGTTGAGGTAGCTGGAATCAGAAGATAAATTCTAGCCAACTTTGAAAGAATTAGAAATTGTTCTTTGTGATCACGCCACCAAATAAAAGGATCCAAATCAAAACCTAATTCAGGTAAAAATAAGTAAATGGTTATTTCATTTTTTTGTATGAGATTTTGTTTAAAGATTGAAAATAGAGAGGATTTGCTGGGTGGTGGAATGGTAGGCATTGTTGATAAAGAATCAGCTTTAAGCTGATCGTATTTGCTTTTTAATAGATCTTTTGTTTTATTACAAATTTCTTCATCAACAAATCCAAGACACTTAATCCTAGGATCAAGTATTGCTGAAATAAGAACCCCTTCCTCTTTTTTGTTTCAATATAATTCCATTGCATTATACAGATCAAGCTTTACCTTTTCTAACATTTTATTAGTTCTAAATAGTTGATTTAAGTTTAACCTTCTTTCTGATATATTTTCTTCAGCTCATTCTCCTTCTTCTTCCTCTTCAAAAACATCAATAATTTCCTCCATCCTATTTACATTTTGAGGTATATCTTTTGGTTTCATGCGTTTTTTAATTTCTTTCAATAATGGACTCATAATGCTATGAGTCACATATTTGCTAACACTTAAGTAGGTTGTAGCTTCAGCAAATCCTTTCAAAACTTCACATAATTTTGCTAATAACTCCCATTCATCTTTAGTTAGTATAATTTCAGATAGCCATTGGCCATCTCTTTTTGAATTAACATCACTAGCAATTGGTAACGTAGTTACTAGGATATCAATATATGGTTTTATTTCTAGCAGTCTCTTTCAAGCCAGAAAGCTTGAATTCCAACGTGTTTGAACGTCTGCAATGCAATGGCATAGGTATGTGCTTGTTTTTCTGGGATTCTAAAAGAATTTAGATTAATATACTTTTATTTATTGAAAAAATGATCATTTTTTTAAAATATGTCATACCACTTGGTTTTCAATATTTATTTGAATATTTTCTAGCCTTTCCGATTGCTTTGGTCTCATGAAGAAGTCAATTAATCGTTTGGCCCTTAATACAAGTAATTTTATGCATGCAAGCCCTTTTCCTATAACAAGTTGTAAAGTATGAGTAGTACAAGACTACCAGGTAATGTTATGAGAAATTTTGCTCATATCCTTAATTGCTCTTTTCATGTTGGGACCATTATCTGTGGTAATTACATTAACCTTTTCTCTTAACATCCATAGATCTAATAATTCAAGCAAAGTATCGCTAATGTGATCTGCAGTATGTGAATACCGAACGTAAGTGACTGTAAAAACAAGCTTGTGTAGCTAAAAATTCTCATCTAAGAGGCAATATGTAACTCCAATGTAACCTTGTCGATTCCGGGCAGTCCAAAGATCAGTAGTTAAGTTGACTGAGATTGCATGATCTTCAATATATTGAATAATTAGAGGATACGTATGGTTATATGCACTATGAATAATTTGTTTTACCAATTTTACATCAGATGCAATAAATCCTGGATCCAAATCATGTAAAAATTTCTGAAACATATCACTTTGAATAAGTTTAAGCGGCATTGAATCAGCAATAAACCAATCAACAAGTAATTGGCAAAGTTTCTCTTGTTTAGCTTCTTTATGTAGTCTTACATTGTTGGTAAGTGTGGTTTGAATCTATTTTTAAAATAATATTAATTAATATTTATTTTTAAACTATTATTATAGCAAAAGGATATTAACCATACCGATCTTTCTTTTACATCTGTATTTTCAGTAATTTGATGTGATCCAGCAAGATGCACAATGAGATTACTTGTTGAGTTTCCACTTGAATAGACTTTTCCACAAAGCTGTTCATCTGTTTTTTTAACTAAATATTCAGCACCGGCATTTCCATTATCAAGCAGTACAGGATCCCACCATTTCCACACCCAGCTTTTATACTTGTGTGTTTTTTCAAGTGTTTTTACTTTTTTGGAGACGTGTTCTGATCTTTGTTTTTTTGAGCGTTTATTAGATAGTGAAGCAGTTTGATTAGATCCTTCTCCTTCATTATCATGATTACTTAAAGGTGTAAGTGGAATAGTTTCTTCAGTCATCATTAATTTTAAAAGAAAAAATGTATGAAAAAGAATCGGGTGGGAATATAATTTTGAAATTTACACAAATAACACAATCATATAGTCTATGATATAATGTTTGTACCCAATTTTAGGTTTTAGATCAGTAAAGTATTTTTCAAATAGGTTAGAAATTGTAGGACGATGATCCAAAAATGTAAATGTGTCTAACAAAAGTGAATGTATTGTATAGATGATTTGTGCGCTTAAATATAAAAATTTTCAAAAAATTTTATTCAATGTCATTTATTTAAAAAAATTATAGTAAAGTACTTGAGTAGCTAAATAAAGAAATAATGAAAATAATCAAATTAAATATTAAAATAAGAATAATTTAGATTTTTTATAAAATTAATTTGAAACAATTATATTTAATATATTATCTTGTGGGTACTATAATAACTATATAGTGAATATCCGCAGATTAATCTATGGATTTGTTATTTAATTCGTGAAATATCTGTGAATATTTGCAAATTATCTGCGGATAAATTTTACAAATCCGCAATACTTAAGAATGATCCGGATATCTGCATTATCCAGATATTTACATTATTTGCACAGATTATCATCTGTGGATCGTTTCTCTATTTTCCAGTTTCTCATAACTATATGATTTGAATTCTGTGTAATACCTACTGATGACTGTAATCTAAATCTAAATAATAGATATCTTAGCATAGAAGTTTGAGAGTACTAAAGAGCCTTTGATAGAACTTAGTGATATGAGTGTTTTTATGCTATAACCAGGAATTAATCAGATAACTTAACTAGGAATTTGTTAGAGTCAGATTTTTTATTAGCTTCTTTTTTGGTTTAATAATAATTTGAGTTATTTATTTTTATATTGAATTTAAATTTAGGATAAGAATTATTATTAGAGAAAAGAGAGAAGTATAATAATAATCTAGTTGTCATACTTTGATAGAAATTCTACTAGTAATTATTTTTTGAGTATGGTAGAACAATTGGTTAGTCTAGGCTAGTAAGTTTTTTAACTTATAAAGATATTTTATGTAATTCTATTTATTTTTTTCTACTTTTGTATCTGATTTTTAGGATTTCTATGTATTAATTTACTGGATTTGAATTTTTCATAATAAATATGAGTATTACCATATCTTAAAAAAATAATTATAATATAAATTTAGTTTATTAAATTTATTACATTAAGATTTATTAAATGGTAGTATTTTTATTTGATAGATACATCAGTAAATTTAATAATGCGAAGTATTACGTAAACCCTACGCTTTGTAATCTTACGTAAGGTTACGAGCCCGTCGAAAAACTTACGTATCGTAGTACTTCGATATTTTTACGATGTGTAATA